TCAACTGCAAAACAGCATTGGGCAGGGTGGGGGGCGCTAAAAGCACAGAGCTCCGCCGCTCGACGGGCAGTGAACAACACGACATTCACTGAGACTGTGGCACTCACCTTGCCCGACCGTCGAGCCAAAAAACGCATACGTATGACACTGTCCAGCCAACTATCCTCATCTTGTTTGTGGAATCGACAGTAGTTTCCGAACGACGATCCCCAGTCGCAGATTCAACTTTTAATCCATTCTCGCACAGCCTGAGCGCGAGAAAAACTCGCCGGTGCTTTCTCAGACAGCTCGATTTTTTTTTTTTCTGGATTAAAGAAAACAAAGGGCAGCCAGGGTTTTTTTTGCCCTCATTAGACCACACCAGTACATGGCCCTGCCCACCATGAGAATCAGGCTCAAGCGTCTCCTTCAATTTTGGAGTCCGCAGAAGAAAAGAAAAGAAGGGCAAACTACCGTCTTCCCCGAACATAACGCAACCTAAAAATGAATGTATACAAGCTATATTTCGGGCCAGATACAGCCAAAATAAGGGTGCGTTGTATTCGGGGGAAATCGGTAGAGGGGGCAATCAACGTTTCGAGTCTTCCACATGTTTCATTCCCCGTTCCGCGGATGAACTATAAATGTATCCAAACCAGCTTTATTGTTGGGTGGGGGGGTTGCGTTGCATTCGAGGGAGATGACTGAAAAGTTCATTTCGAACTGACAGCGTTACGGTCCCGTATTTACACCCCCCTCCAAAAAAAATGACTGCGATGCAGTTACCCAACGTGAATCTAATAAGCAAAAAAATATAGATTTTGATTGATTTGTTTATCTAATAAGCAAAAAAAGAGATTTTGATTGATTTCGTTTTACGCATATAAAAGATTTTATTTCCTGCTATTGCTATGCCTTTTATTTTTGTTCAGATTGAAAAAGAAGAGATTGTTTAATTTATGTATTAAAAAGAAAACTCACTACACCGTAGTTACCCCCAAACAAATCGTCCCATGCACTGCAGTCTCACAAGGTGCAGCCCTGAGAAGAAAACAAAAAAACGAAAAGGTGCATTGTCACCGGCTGCCCCCTCCATCGGTTCTCTTTTTGTTTCCTTTGTTCTTTTCTGTCCTTCGCTTCTCAAGGCGAGCGATGCATATGAACCCCGACGGCTGAGCCTAAGGGGGTAGGGGTCACAGTTACTATTTCTTTTCCTGGGTTAGGACTGGTAGTGTTTGTCGACGTTTTCCCGTCCTCTTTCTCTAGTGTGCGTACTAGAATGAGCCAAATTACGAGTGGGAAACCTCCACAGATCCCCACTGTTTAAAATGAGCCCAGTACGACCGGTAGCGGGGGACCTACAGCGGTCTGGTCTTGGTCATTTCTGTCACTGGAGATCCCCCGACGCCTACACCCTATCTATTCCGGCCTCTTTCTTTGGTGTGCGTAATCAAACGGGTTTTGTTTCCCGCATCTTTTTCCCAACAAGAAGAAATGTAAAGTCGAGGACAGCGCATTGATAGTGTCCTCATGCGGGGGCATTAACCGTTCTTCCATCGTGCAGTAGTTATAATATGGATGCAGCCCATCAGCTGCATGCAACCCCCCGCATCATGCAGGGGTATTAGCCGCTCTCTCCCATCGTACAAGATTTATAATACGGATGCAGCCCATCTGCGGCATGCAACCCCCCACCTCATTACTCGACACCCTCTCTCTCTCTCTCTGTCTTTCTCTCACACACACACACGCACACACACACACACACCACACAAAACTCTCTCTCACACACACACAGACAATCTCCTACACACACCACAGACAAATCACTCTCTCACACACACCGCACACCATACACAAATCTCTCTCTCTATCTATCTATCTATCTCACATACACACGCACACACACACACACACACACAGAGGCGTGTCCATAACTCTGGGCGATGTAGCGAGTCCTTGTCCATCAGTCAAATGAATCCTGGGCAGACTGTCTGTCCAGATTCAACTTCCTGATGAGGCGGTGAAAGTCCGACGAAACAGTCTGTTTGGCACAGTCATGCTTTTTTTGGAGTGGTTAGCGAATATGACAACACACGCATGCAACCGACAAATGTTATGCAGGAGAGCGCTCGCACCTTCACACCTACGCGTCAACGAGCAGCGAATGACAATGGCCGTAGCTAGACAGGGTCGTTCGAACTGGCATGGACGTGACGTCACTGGGCCGCTCTCCTAGCTGCACGGCCGATCCATCGGGACGATCGGACAAGCAACATCATTATATACTACATCCGTATGATACACTCATGACCTAATTCAACTTAGGTATAACGCCATCCCTCGTTTTTTCCCTCTTCAATACCCCATGCGTATCTTTCACCCATCGCCACTCAGCGACGCCACCAGTGCGGCACTTCTGGACCGATATCCAGGATATCACTGTCACGGTCTGCGGCGTGACGCGACGTGGTTGGACATGTGAGGCAAGAGTGAGCTCGGATGACAATCGCAACAAGGAAGCTCTCGAGTATAGCACAACAAATATTATTTAAACCTAAAAGACAAAAGAGAAGTGCCTTCATTTCTGCGCGGCTGCGGCCGTCACACGACGACTATCTGCGCGGCTTGCATCGGAATTAAATAGTGCGAGAACAAACACGAATCGACATCACTGCAGCAAACAATCTCACACTACAAATACCCGAGTTTCTTAATTCCAATCAGAATACAGAGATCAGAGATCAGCACGTTGAAGGTCGGTCCCCAAAACACTGGTTTCTTTCGGCTGGCCAGATATCGTCGAGACCGACGCCCAGAGAATATGTCCACGAGGGCGCAGCACCTCTTGTGCCCTCTTACGCTCACGATAACCAAAGGATCAAAGGTTACTTTCTCCAATCGGAAAGAGGGAAGTTTCCAGAGACGATGCACAATCTCCAGTCAAAGACGGTGCTGGCGGCTTTCCCCGAGGAGAACGGAGGTTCGTATGGCCGCAGGACTCGTCCGTATCGAAGGACCGGCGAGAAGCCACGCTTACGTGTGATTCATTCCAACCACTAGGATTGTAATTTTAGAGGATATACGGATTTTCCACAGAAAAACGGAAAGTTCACAAATCACTCGTCGGACATGGCGACGAGTTTACCACTTTCATCGGCAAAAAACAGAATCCTTGGAATCCTGACCTTATACCGTCACCGATGAAGTAACACTACATTTTGATAACATTCACTACACCCGCATATCAGAGATAAAGAGGGTGAGATAGAATATAGTAAAACCACACCCTGATCATATTCACTACATCCGCAAATATTTTCCATACAAAACCTACAGCAATAAATAAATTTCCCACTAAAGAAGGTGAGATAGAAGATAGTATACAGTAGAGGGTGTAGAATGTACCGTAAACGGTGAGACGTGAATCAGAAATATGGTTTGATGAATCGTTGTTCAGAGTGATAATTACTCGTACGCGAAACTGGCTACCGTCTTCACCCTAGTAGAACGCCCGGCTATTAAAGCCGTCGTATTTGGGGCAACTTTCAGACCAGATGCAATTTATAATTATCGGGCGTTCTATTCGGGTGAAGACGGCAGTACTGCCAGGATAACTCCGGGTTTAATTGTCCGGATACCGCCTTGTTGTTGAGGGGTAAAAACAGAAGCAAGGGCGCTGCAAGCCAGGCGCCTGAAACTGACACTAGCACAATCAGTGGGGCATGTCTGTGCGTTGCAAACGCCATGCCATCCCTAACGGGATTCATCGGCTGAGTTCAGGAAGCCACGAGCCGCCGCGACGCCCTAAACAACGCGACTCGGGTATTGCTTATTTCCACCTGCAGCCAAGCAAGTCAGATGATATGATCCTTTTGATAGGGTGGGGTAATAACCGTACATGCTCTATTCGGAGAAGCCTACCGTAGATATATCCCCTTCACAACTCAGTAATGACCGTCCATGTTCTACTAGCCGTAAAAGCCTACCGTAGATCTTCGAGGGAAAGCTAGACAATGTGCAAGATCGACTGCGCAACAGCCTTTCCAAGGTAAACACATTCGTACAGAATGCAGCCGCCATCACTGACCCCCATCGTCGGACACGTTCAAAAGCGCCGTACACATCCACCTGTCCAATTTAGGGTTTTGCCTTCCATCCACAGCTGAGCCGTCATCCTACCTCTTTCGATGCAAAAATTCCACGAGCAGTTGCTTTTCGAAGGGTTCCATTCCGCTCAACGACATATTCCCGTAATTTGAGGCCAGACCGAGATAAATGAGAAGTCCACCGCGTGCAGATATTGGGAGAAAAAGCTCTGATGTGCAAAATACCCTTAATGCAGGGCATTCACATGCGCTTGCCGGACCAATGATGTTCACAGGCATTCGACTGGGACATTTCAAAGGCAGGCATTTGCCTGATTTCGAATGCCCGTTCTTAGCTCGTCCACTTCGTGGCAGCCAGTGCCATTATGCAGCCACCATACGTCTCCCATCATCGAGCCAACAGGCAGATTAAGAATCCTGGACTAGCAGATTGGCAGCCAGTGCCATTTTCCAGTCACGAGCCAAGAATCCTGGACTGGCAGATTAAGTATCAAACAACATTTCCACAAGCATAGCCAGTTTACAGTCCCACCTGGCGCGACACGCTGGGATGACTCTTGCAAATCACATCGATCTATCATCTCCCACCGAAATGAAACATACGGTGATTAATCGCAATTTTGAAACATATACGCTCCCAACTACACTTACAAGGACGCGTTCTATTCGGGGGAAGACGGAAGGGTTTCCAATCAGTACCTCCGCCCCACCTTTCACATCTCGGCACGACAAAGAAACAGTAAATCAGAAAGAAAACATGTCGCCGAACGGACGCGTCACACGTGGGCAGAGGTGCGCGCGCTCAAGAGAAAAGAGGATAAAAAAGACAGGCCCGTGCTGCCACGTGCCAGCGCGCGATGACACGAAGTCCGAGAGAGAGAGACGATGCTGCCAGAGGCAGGGCGTGCGGAGTCGCACGCCGCAGATTCATTACCCTATGTGTGCATGTCAACACTTTGCAGGAACTGTGCAAGGCTCATTCTGTATACTTCCAAATACAGGTGATCTGTTCGTTCACAACGGACGCAATTCCGTCCGCTCCCAACAGTGAATTTCCGACAAACACACAGCTCAACGTTTTCCTTCAGCCAACGTACACTCAGACATTCTGCATTACCAAAGGAAACTAAGAAAAAAAAACATACGTCAATCTCTCGTTGTATGTTTTATCGTTTCGCAGAAATCTTTAATTTTCTCCGTATCCTTCCGCATAACAAGTCCACGTACATCTGTTTTCGAATCCGTTCCTCGCAGACAGAACTTTTCCCCTCTGCATACACCCAGGCATTCCGAATCTGTAAGGGGGTCATCTGTCAGGGGGTTAGGCGTCCCCTCACTACCTTTCTCTTATATGGCACCGCGGGCCTGAAATTGAACTTCGGGGAGCCGCGTGAGTCGATGAAACTATAGATGGGCGCCCGACGTTTTTTTGGGTTGAGGCTCAACTTGCGACTTCGGCTCAACCTGCGACTCAGCGACACAGTGATCACGGCAGTGGTCCTTTTAAGCCCCCTGATTCTCATGTAAATGCATAATCCACATGCACAATCCTGACGGCATCGTTTGTGAGTACGCTTGTCACAGTCCACCTAATTCTTATGTAGATGCAAAACATACTGATGCACAGTTAGCACGGCATCGTTTGTGAGTGGGCTTATAACACTCCACCTAATTTTCGTGCAGATGCAAAAAACACACTGATGAACATTCGCAGGCAATCGTTCGGGAAGAAAGAGTTAGGCTTCGGCATCTACATGAGACCGAACCTACGTGAGAAACTTTCCCTTCAGTTTTCTGCAAAGGCTTCTGTAAGACACGGTACCGTTCGCACAGCACACAAAAGTCATCGTGTAGAGGACAGGACTAACGTGCAAACGGAAGACGAAAGGAACACAACACTGTCGCAATGCTTCTGCAAGACAACAGCGCAAGTACTTATGCATGGACGCATAGCGATTGGCCCCGCTTTTTCAATTCAATTCAATACTTGTAGGAACGCTGAGAGAACAGAATATCGACAAAAAAAAAGGCAAGTGGACGAAAGATAGAAGAGCCAAGCGCACAGGAAACCTGCAATAATCAGCAAAAAACACGCTGGAAAAAAGAACGGAAAGCAGAGATCAAAGCGAACGAACAAGCATTCCCAAACTCTTTTCAATTTCGTCCACATCCTTGTTTAGAGCTCGCAACGGAATTCTCCAAAATTAAGAGAAACAACATCTTTTCCTTATAATCAGGAGCACACTCCCACGTTACGCCAACCCCCGTTTGCCTGTAAGAGAGAAGAGATGAACGGCTTGATCCATTTCACCGCCAATTGTGGGAAAAGGATGACTAATAGCACACTACCTGCTAACTCCCAAAACAACGAATTTGGACGGAAGCACATGGCCCACATACCAGCGGCATGTGTCGTCGGGCCACCCACCCGCAAAAGAAGGCGCTCGCCGCGGGGATAGAGACAGAGATGACCGCCGGCAAAATCAAAACCCTATATTCCGGTGAAAAGCATATCCATTTTCTCATCATCATCCGATCATCATCTGTAAAGACAAATCCGCAACCTAAGAAGAAAATTTTAACTGACGGCCACTCCATCGTCGATCGATTTCACTTGGCATACTCGTCTTCCCTCTAGTCTCTTCTCCCTACAAACACTCGTTGGCCGTTCTGCCTCCACCGTCCAGAGTGCAAGAACCTCCTCTCCTCTTCTGGTCTATTCGTCATCATCCTCATCACCATCTCCTCCAGATGCCTTCTTCGTGGCGGCCTTAGCATTCTTCCTTGCAACACGACCCGGACGTCCTCCGCCGAACGGACTCGTCAGCGCAAAGTCGATGTGCTTCTGGCTATCCACCCGCACAAGGAACGACGGGATGTTGACAATTTGCTTCCCCACTCTGCACAACAAGAAAAAATTCACGCACAAGCAAGATAAGTTAGACCGCGGGCGAAGGGCACTTCATCAACCAATGCAAATTCTCAACAATTTAAAATCAGGGCGGAGAGATTGAGCGAACTCTTATACGAGCTCTTACAGTACGGAAAAAATGCATCAAGTGCAAGTTCTACAAATACACTTCCAAACACAGGCGATTCACAGTCAGTAATCAAACGATCAGACAGACTAGGCATTCTCACAGTGAGCAATCAAAAGATCAATCAGTCTATACATTGAAAGGAACGAAACGGCAGAGCACGCTCACATGACTTTGCCGTCAAGAAACCGCCTTGCGCTTATTTAGCAACACCCACTACGGTAGAAGAGGATGTGTTACGCGGTGCAGGCCAGCACATTGCCCTTACATAGCAACATCCACTACGCTAGAAAAGGATGTGCTACGAGGTGCAGGCCGGCACATTGCCCTTACAGGCCTGGCAAGGACGCTCCACTCTAGCAAGACGCTCAAACCCTGGGCAAAGTAGTACAGCAGAAATAGAAAAAGAAAAAAAAAAGAAAAAAAGATTTCCTTCCGAATTTGCAAGTCTAAAACGCAAGTCAGTGTACTGTCCACAAGGTTACACGACTGCAATCGTCCGCGTCCGCAGCTTGACACACCCAAAAGGGCATATAGGAATCCGGGGGGGTCTGATGAGCCAGTCGTTGGCTTGGTACACCGGTTTCTAACAGGCCGATCATTGGCCTGATGCTACGTGTAGAGAGTGCAGCAAGAACAGAAAATTCTTCGTTGCAAACACACTTTTCCCTCGAATCTCCAGCGCTTTCATCCTGCCATTTCAGCTGAGAGATGTCAAACCCCGTCCTTACAAGACCTTACGCTACTTGGCGGCTATCCGCTGCACAAGAAGTGGATTGGCTAGACGTATCTCCACCACACCTCCTGACGGCAAAATCGCCCTCCCTCCCATACTGGGCTTCACCCTTCCCCTCCACAACTAACTTCTGTAAGGCGCTCAATCCTTCGAGAAGATTAGGTCAAGAAGACTTTCACACCGTGAAAACGGAAGCGACCGCTGTTTCCGACGCCGGCTCACACATGACTGGCATCATCCAAATTTCAAGCCATAAGATACACTGTACATACGAAGGCTACTGGCTTGGTTCAACGATGATTCTGACTGGCCGATCATTGCCTTCGTATGTACAGTGCATACTCTATTAAGAAAAACAAGTCCCCGCAAGAACAACGAAAACTTCGCCGTTGGGTCTGCGGCGCGCTCAACCTCCCATCACAGCTGAAAGGCGTCAAACCCCATCGCATTGCCGATCATTGCCTTCTGATTGGACGGCTACTGGATTGGTTCAACGATGTTTCTGACTGGCCGATCATTGCCCTCGTATGTACAATGCATACTCTGTTAAGAAAAACAAGTCCCCGCAAAAACAACGCAAACTTCGCCGTTGGGTCTGCGGCGCGCTCAACCTCCCATCACAGCTGAAAGGCGTCAAACCCCATCGAATTGCCGTACATCCACTTGGGTCTGCCGCGAGCTCACCACATGACGTCAAAATTGCCCTCCTATCCCGATCTAGTCCTTTCCCTTCACGACGCAGCTCTAGCAAGTCGCTCAATCCTTAGGGCAGGAGAGTGTTTCGGCACTCCGACAAACGACCGTGTTGTCCGCCGCCAGATCACACACGCTCACCATCGTCTCCCCATTCGTTGCTTGACGTAAGCGCATAAATAGGGTTTCTCACTGGCCTGTCATTGGCATCGAGGAGCGTCTTTTGTTGTTAAGAACAAAATGACAATGCGCTCATATGAAACAAAAAAATCGCCGTTAGAGACACATCTCTCGTTAGCTCTCCGACGCGCTCAACCTGCCGTCGCTGATGAGAGACGTCAACGCTGTGAGACGTCAACGCTGTACACCCAATTCACGAAAAGAAAACAGTTCCAATTCTTTTAGGGAGGGTCACATATTTCGCCCTATTTTAAATATTTAGTCTACAAGGGGTCATTTACGACATATTTCGCCCTAAATTAAATATTTAGTCTACAAGGGGTCATTTACGGTTTTCTCATAGTGCATAGTGCGAGAGCTCAACCCATTATCTCGCATTGCCTTCCTCTTAACCTCTCTCCCACCGTACGGCCGATGCTTTCCCCCACCCCCCCCGCCCAGTCCTATTGACACCTTGGATTCTGCAGATCAATCCCCAAGTCAAGAACGAAGACTCTACTACCTTGTTCCCCTCAACGTGACGCACCCCCCGATTATGCACCGAGGGATATCGCCTATCTGATTAGATAGCCTAATCAGAAATAAACTTATTATATCTTTCTGAAAAAACTTAACAATTTACACCCACTCCAGACTCTGGAAAGAAGAACCTACCTCCTCCGATACAAACGCACCCAGATTTCGACCCTAGATACGAGTTCCTTCCCTGATCTCAAAATGCGGCTGTGTTCCGTTCGAGAATACCTCCCCGCAGACCTAATCCACCTGTCAAACCAGACCATGAGAATTCGCTCATATAGCCAGGTGTAAAATACATCCTTACAAAGCCCGAATTCCCCATTGTACTGAACCACCCACAGCGGCATGCATTGTACAGAGGCGGTTCCCGAGATCAATAGAGTTCAACAGAAACAAAGCCCGAATTCCCCATTGTACTGAACTACCCACAGCGGCATGCATTGTACAGAGGCGATTCCCGAGATCAGTAGAGTTCAGTAGACACAATACTTACTCCCAACCTCTGAGGAGAGAAGCTCACTATTGTCCCCTACCTCGATCATGCTTTCATCGACAGCCTCGAATCGTGTTCTTAAACCCTCCACTGTAACCGCAGGCTTTCAAATCAATAGTCGTTCCCGACACCCTTTAAATTATTTGCACGACACAAGATTCCTTGAGAAAAAGTGAAAAAAAAATTCCCGCGCATACTTTTGCCGACCTTCCCAGATTTCAATCTCCACTCACTCTTCCATTTCATTCACCTGATCGAGATTGGTTGCTAACTTATCATCTGATCGAGATTGATTAATATAACTTATCATCTGATCGCGATTGATTGCTAACTTACCGAATGTGCCGTTGACGGATGAGCACACGAGCGTGATGGATAGACTTGGCCAGGCCAGTCTTGAAGACGAGTGTTTGTAATCTCCTCTCCAAGAAATTCTCCACCGTCAATGCCAAGACGTAATCGAGCTTGTTCTGCGACTCGTCCAGAAGACCGTACCTGTTCATCCTCCTCAACAATGCCTCTCCCTCGAAGATTCTTCGAGTATTCTTCTCGTCGAGAGTCAACAACGTACGGGCATTGTTCCGGATTCGGCTAAGTGCATACTGAACGCGCCACAGCTCTCGCTTGTTACGGAGCCCATACTCTCCGACGAGCTTCAGCTCGGCATCAAGCCGTTCCTTCTCATAAGGACGTCTCGGCTTCTTAAAGGTTTTCCCATCTGCGATAACGTTTAACAACAACACAGGGCAGAGAACAAACCACCAGAAAGACACGTGTCTCAGTCAAAACTACCGGATAGACCAAGGCAGAAAGGACAGAAGGTGTAAGATCTATGAAAACAACCCGACTATCGGTAGGCAGCACTTTATGGAAACCAATATCTCGATTTACAAATCGACGCTCGTAGGGACACATTCAGGAGACACTCTCATCCCAAAAATCTTCATTCAACAAGGAAGCTGTAGAAACCTTTGTCATGACGTTCTTCCAATTAGACCACAGAACTCATCAGACGTGATTGAGACCCGGGGACACACAAAGGACAGGGGGAGAAGGAGATTAGGGTTGCGTTGTCATCACGGAATTGAACTCACGACTCCTGCAACAGGATCACGCAAGTCATCACACGCCATAGCGACCCGAAAACACACAAAGGAGCGGGAGAGAGGATGTCCGGGTTGCCATGTCATCATGGAGTTGGAACTCACAGTTCCTGTAGTAGCTGATCTTCACCATGGCTGCTAGCTTACTCCTCGCGCTACGCCGCTCTCGACGACAGGAGAAGAAAGTGCCCGACTACTACCCCGTCGACCTGCCGAAAGAGACCATTAACACGGAGAAGCAAGCAAATAAACCTTCCACCAGGTTTTTGCCTAGCAGGCCTGAGTCTTTTTGTTTCTCTCAAGGGACGGACGCTGCAGGCCCTCTAGGTCCATCCTCGTTCCACTGACCTCACCTAAGGGGTTGCTGACACGACGGTAGGCAATTCCCGCAGCCGAAAAGAGGACCCTCGCGCATTCCCGCCGTTCCACTGCTCGGGGACCTTAGGCGGGTGGAACTCACGGGCCGGGTCCCACATATTGGGAGTGTTGTTCGCAGACAGAGGCTGCGCCTACAGTAGCCCCGTTGCATCTGGCGCGCAGTGAGAAAGTTTCTATGGCCCCTATGGGCCTCGTTCCACACCACATGAAACTAGGGGCCTCGTTCCACACCACATGAAACTCAAGGGTGGGTCGACCCGGCACAGTTCTTTTCTTTTTTTTTTTGGTCCTCCACCCTCCTAATCGTCCTAATCGCCTAATCCTTTTTTAGAGATTTCCCAGCCATTTTTTTCGAGTTGCGGCGTGCATGCAGCCACGACTCATTTTGCAGCACGTGGAAGGCCCGTTTTGCCAAGATGGATATCCACCAAAATGCCAACCAGTACTTTTCGAGAGTCGTGGATGCATGCATACCGCAACTCTAGGAAAATGGTTGGGAAATGTACTGGTGGTTTAATTCCTCTGCCTCTTCCGACTTGTTCTTTAGTTCCAATAGCTCCACAAGCAAATCGGGGCAATTTTAAGATCGCCTCAGGGAGGTAAATTCAATTTTTTTTTAAATGTCTCCAACGAGAAAATGAAGTCGTTATTGCTCCCCCTAGTTTGAGGTACTCTCATTCATGATCCGCGAGTTGTTGTTGTTTCCCGCACGTGTATTTTTTAAAAATAATTTTTAAAGTTGAATAATACGAGAACTCTATTTAATATTCATTAATTACGATTTGAGTTGTAAGGCCGCCTTTGAGTTTCAAGTGACGTAAAATGATGTCTAAAGAGGCCTTATATCGTAGGGGCTTAAAGATAGGTCGGTTTGCTATAAGTTGGAACCAGATCGTTCTCATAATAGATGTCCAGGAATAAGAGTGGATAACCAACAGTCGACTATAGTGCTCTTTATTGTGGAAGAGTCGTTGCTGTCAACGTTTTCCTTTTCTGGAAAAAGGTAATCAATCCGTCTTGAAAAAGGGTGGGGGTAGCAAAAAAGGTGTTAGGGTTCATATTTTTTAGCAAATATAAGAAGGATATACTCATACTACCTCATTCCAAAAAATATATGACTACAATTATGATTATGCCTGGATTAATTTAACTACAATCTCGTTAAGAGGTTTATGAAAAACGTCCTTGTCTGATTACGCTGTAAAATGAATACCCCCCCTCCCCAATAGATATCAAATTATTTTAAAAAACAACAGAGTTTCATTGTGAGATATGAGGGACGGTTCTGCTAATATGAAAACAAAACATGAAATGAGCGTGTAAATCTTGACTTTCTCGTGGAGAGTTATGAAAACTTTATGATGGATTTGCTTATGTACAACCCTTCGCCACACACATTCAGATCTATATGCTTAATTTAGTCATCTTAGCCAGTGTGACCTAATGCTAATAATTATTTTCTTAACTATCAAATCGAATCATAAAATTTACCACTGCTCTCAATGTCTCTTACTGCACGCATAAAGTGATACTCTGTTGATTTTTTTTATGCATATCAGGGGACAAAAAGGATTACTTTCAGGTGATCTATTTGATTATCTTTATCTTTATATTTTCAAAATCATTATTTAAAAAACAGTATATACAATTCCTATTAATTACAGTTTATTATGTATATAACTAGGCTATTAGAGTGGTTCGGGTCCACTTATCCGAACGGGCCAATAAATAAATAATATATATATATTATATATCGTCAAATATACAGGGTTACCGACGTTCGAGACGGGCCGAACGCCCGAACCCGAGTGCCCGAACGTACGGGACCCCTTTGGGAGGAGTTCGACCGTTCAAGCCGAATGCGGATAAAAAAAAATAAAATAATAATAATAATAATAATAATAAATAAATAAATCAAAAACTTTCGAAAAAAACTATGTTATGGCGAAACATAAACTAAACAACATTTGTTTGGGCATTACATCCAAATTCCTTACCAAATTTGAATTAAAAATCCAATACAGAAAATAAACACTATGATAAAAATAAGAAAAAATAAAAAGATAATTAAAATGAGTGAGTGTGCCAGCACCTTTTCGACGCCGTCATCTTTGCCGATTTTTAATTATTTTTTAGCATTGACAAATGCCCTGAAAATTTACAGATATGTAGTTTGCATAATCAGGTGAAGTTGTATGCTCTTGGTTACCCAAGAGCTGGGTATCACCTCTACTCTCCCACTCCCTTTTCCCTCTCTCCCCTTCATCATCTGACCTTCTTTTTCTCTCACCTCCACTCATCCATCACCTTTTCTCACTCCTCTCTCTACTTTTCTCATTTCTCTCCTCTTCTCCCCACTAATCTCTCATCCCCTTCACTCTTTCTCCATCCACTACCATATTTTTACTCTCTCATCTCCCAACCTCACTCTCCTTGTTTCTTTTTCCTACTTCTCTCCTCTCCTTCACCTTAATCTCTCATACCCTTCCTTCTTCACTCATCTCCCACCATCTTTTTCTCTCCTCTCTCTCCACTCACCTTCTTTTACTAATCTCTCACTATTTTCTTCACATTTTTCATAGCTTTCTCTCTTATTATCTCACCCACCTCTCCTCCTTTCTTCCCCTAATTTGCGGCATTTTGAAAGTTACTGTGTCCCTCTTGCACTTTCCTTCTGCTTGGCACATTTTTGACTCCATGCGGGGTGGGAAAATGTTGCCGAAAATTCAAAAAACAAATTTTCTCTCTCTCCTCACTCTTTACATTTTATTTTTTTATTTATTTTTATTTCTTTTTTTATTTTATTTTTATCTCGAAATTTTATTGTTTATTCTATTTTTTTTCCCCCTCCCCTCCATATTATCTTTTTTCTTGATTAGGTCACCGCTACCCTCCCCTAACCACCTAAACTCCGGTTAGGGTTTTCTTAGGGTTTTATAGGGTTTAGGGTTCTCCTAACTCCCGCCCCCCTTCCTACTCTCCCGCCTCCTCCCGTCGGGCACCCTGGAGATGGACGGCTCCTCCCCCCTCGAGCGGTTCGGCGCCTTCCTCTAACGCGCGACCCCCAAAATCCGAGGGGAGCCGACTCACACATACTCACTCCGCTCCCGCGGTCCCCTTCCTCTTACTGGTGGGCCCCTTTCCCCACACACTCCTCTGAGGACTACCTCCATTCCCCTTCCGGCCATGGAAGGGAGTTCATCCGAGGAGATCGCCGCAACGCAGTCCGCACCCCAGGTCAGCGCGTGGTGAGCGGCTCATGATGCCCATGCGGACACTATGGACCTTCATGCCGTCCTTATAGCAATCCAGGCACAACTTAGTATGCTTGGACCGTTGCAAGCGCAAATCAATGCGCTAGCCCTCGACGTCAACCGCCTCRAGKGCTCCCCTCATCGCTCTCCCCACCGCTCTCACACCCCTTCCCCTACCGGCTCCGCTTCCGGCTCCCCAGGACTCCGGAGACGGAGTGACCATGGTTCCCCCTCCTCTGCGGGCAAGGCCCAACACTCCCCCTCAGCGGTGGCGAGTGATGCTGCCGCTCAGACCACCCCGTCTGTTGCTGCAGTTCTTCTGGCCACGCCCGCCCCTACCGTCTCTACTATTGCCGTAGGTGCTGCGGTCCAAGTACCGCCTTCTGGCCGAACAGTTTCATCGACCCACACCGGTGTTGATTCCCAACTTCCCGTACCAGTTGTGGCAATACAACTCCGCCCTCTTCTTCCTGCCTTCGTCCCCCCGCCCACACAGCAGGGTACCGCCCAGGCTGGGATTCCTCCTCCCACTGGGAGACCCGCTCCGCCCCTTCCACCTCCGACCCCTCGCACCCAACGAGTGACCACTTTACAGGCCACCATTGCGTAGGCTCAGGCGGAGATTCTCGCTCTGAGACAGCCTCACCCATCACAGGCTTCCCACCCTTTTTCCTCTACCACCTCTTCGGTCCCCATGATGCAGGCTCGTTTCCCTCGATCTGCTCCTTAGCCTCTTCCCTCCTACCTGGCTACTCCGGGACAGCTGCCCGCGACCGTTGCCTCCTCGTTTGCTGGTCCATCCGCCAGCGGCCACGACCCACAGCCTTCCCCCACCTCTGCCCCTGCAGCGACCTCGACTTAACGCTGCCGCAGTGCACTCGCCTCAATCTCTCTCCCCCCGCCATCAGCAAAGTGGACATCCTCCTGTGCGCACCACAAACATTCCCGAGTATGATGGTACATCCCGTGTCTCTCGCTGGTTGCAGATAGCAATGCGCACGCTCTCTATGACGACCACCCGTCAGGAGTTGTGGTGCGATGTGCTCACAACCAAATTGCGAGGTAGCCCTTCCACTGTGTGGGAGGATCATTATACCCAGCGCCTCCGCGTGGGTGAGGTCCCCACTTTGGCCCACTTCGCGGCCTTCCTTCAGGATTGTTTCGGCGCTCGTCATGACGCCACCGATGCCTTAGACCTCGTCATCCAGACCAGATGGTCCGGGTCCTCTGTACCGGCCGACCTGGAGCGTCACATCCGAGTATTTCAGGACGCTCGCCTTGTTTGTGACGAGACGTTCATACCGGAGGTCACACTCACCGACCGGTTCCTTGTCAACTTGCCGACTGACTACCGCCTAGAGCTATGGAGGCGATCATTCTCTTCCGCGGAGAAGGCATACGAGGCTGCGCGTCAGTACCAGAGGATATGCAGTCGCTTCTCCGTCGCCTCATCCTCTTCGCGGCCAGCCACCACCTCCCAGTCTCGGGGTACCACCCCAGGCCGCTCCTTGTTTGCCGGTCGTTTTCGTCGCCCGGCTCGACCTGGAGCGCCATTCCCTCGGCACTACAGTTCTCTCGAGTATGGAGAGGACGCCTCAACCGAGCTCGATCCTACCATTGGGGACGCCCCCGAGGACATCGAGCTTCGGGACGTCATCCAGTACCACTTGGATGACGACATTGTCCCAATGGCTGAGCGCCTGCAGATGGCCATGTCTGCCATGCGTCGTGCACGCAGTCGTGTTGCACAGGCTGGCGCCTGCACACCCACAGTTCCTCAGATAGACCTCCCGC